TGCGTTTTTGAGAGATAGCAGATGCACGAAACCCTGTGTTTTTCCATACAAAGTCCGTCCCCGAACGTCGATGATCTACCTCTGCGGTGCGACGGGTGTGAGACGGTCTCGTGTGTGGTCGGATCATTCTCGGGTCATGGTCGGATCATTCTCGGATCATTCTCGGATCGGTTCCGCATTGTAAATGGGGTTTCAAGTGTTTTTCGTGCATGTGCAGTCGACAGAATTCCATTGTGATTTGCAACTGTAGGATCGTTCACGCAATGTAAATGGGATTGCAAGTGGTGCTGGTGGATGAGTTGCCGATGGAGTTTTGAAGGAAGTCTCGCACGAAATGCGTTTTTTTCTCCATTTTGGCGCTAGTGATTTTCCTTCTAAAAATTCTTTTAAAAATGTTTCAAAATCGCCTTTTTTTTCGCTCTGGCATCAAGATCCGGTTTTGAAGCTACAAATTCCGACGCCGTTGCGCGTAGTTCTATTGTGCTTTGCAACTCAGTCTCTGCAGATCGCATTGTAGTCGCTGCGTCAAGGTTGCTTCCTGCTTTGGCTGTATGCGTAATACTATTGTCTTTTGCAGCTGGACTTCGTAAATCGTTTTGGAGTGGCTGCATGAAGGCTGCGAAATGGATTTGTTAGCAGATTTTCTCCATTTTGGCGCTAGTGATTTTCCTTCTAAAAATCCTTTTAAAAAGTGCTTCAAAATCGTCTTTTTTTTGCTCTGGCATCGAGATCCGGTTTTGGAGCTACAATTTCCGACGCCGTTGTGCATAGTTCTATTGTGTTTTGCAACTCAGTCTCTGCAGATCGCATTGTAATGGCTGCGTCAAGGTTGCTTCGTGCTGTGGCTGCATTCGTAATACTATCGTCTTTTGCAGCTGAACTTCGTAAATCGTATTGGAGTGGCTGCATGAAGGCTGCCAAAGTGATTTGTCAGCAGATTTTCTCCATTTTGGCGTTAGTGTTTTTTTTGTTGGACGTACGTTTAGAGCAGTGTGAAGCGTGGGGCGTGTGTGAAGTGTGAAGTGTGAAGGAAGCAGTGGGAAGTGAGAAGTGTGAAGTGTGGAGTGTGAAGTGTGGAGTGTGACGCTTAAGTTTGGAGTGCGAAGAGCGCAGTGTGAAGTGTGAAGTGTGAGGCTTGGAGTGTGAAGGAAGCAGTGAGAAGTGAGAAGTGTGAAGTGTGGACTGTGAAGTGTGGAGTGTGAAGTTTGAAGTTTGGAGTGCGAAGAGTGCAGTGTGAAGAGTGGAGTGTGAAGACTTTGCTTCATCCCTCGCTGAAAAAAAAGGCCGCTAGTCGAGGGAAGGACACGGTCGGGACAGGTTGTCTTCGAACTATAGGTCATTTATTTTTGGGAAACTTCCGCCGCCGGCTTGCCCGGGTCTATGTTAGGATTCCAAGTGAGGCCAGGGAAGAGGCAGAAGTGGGTTGGGGGAGACGCACAAGGGAAGCGCAAGGGCAAGGAGGGCGAGTAGGATGAGGGCAATGGCACTGCTTGGAAAGACCACAGCTCAACGGCTGAGCGCAGTACACAGCTCAAGATCCAGAACCAGGACATTACTTTACACCATTTTTCTGTTGGTTCTTCTCCAGTACCCCTAACTGTCGGGCTCCGATGTGGGACCATTATGGGCGCAAGGATTGGATAAGCGCGTGTGGACATGGTTGTCCGGAACAGGTTTCTCCTGGCCCGTTCCCTGGAGGGAATGTCGCCCGCATTGATAGAGGGCGGGGAGGGGATTGATAGGTGTGCCGAACATCGAGGCAGTGGGAAAGAGGCATGGGCTGCGAAGAAGGAAAGCAAGGACACGAGGAAGTGTACGGGACCCATGGCACGCACCAGCTGCAGCAGAGCCTATACCGACAGAAGTTCCTTCTCCATACCTACTGCACCTCCATTCAAGGGCCATTACGGGCGAAATTCACCCCAGGGAACGGACCAAGAGAAATTTGTTTCAGACAACCATGTGCACACTCCCTTATGCAATCGTTGCGCCCATAATGGTCCCACATCGGAGCCGGACAGATAGGGGTAGAAGAGTAATAGAGTCACCGTCTGGTAAGGAGATGCATAAAGAAAAGTAGCCATTGAGTTCCCACCTTTCCAAGCAATGCCTTTGCCCTCATCCTGTTCACCCTCCTTTCCCTTGTGCTTTAGGCAGTTGTGAAGTTTGAGCTATGTATTGCGCTCAAACATTTAGCACGCAAACCAGCCATTGAGTTCCCACCTTTCCAAGCAATGCCTTTGCCCTCATCCTGTTCACCCTCCTTTTTCCCTTGTGCTTTAGGCAGTTGTGAAGTTTGAGCTATGTATTGCGCTCAAACATTTAGCACGCAAACCAGCCATTGAGTTCCCACCTTTCCAAGCAATGCCTCTGCCCACATAACCCATCTAGGTTGCCCTCCTCACTCACTCTCCTTTCCCCTAGCCTTTTTCCGCACTCCCCTATCTTTTGTTCCTCCCTTCTCAGGTTCAGTTCTTCACTGCGCCACCTCTTCGCTGAGCCTCCTCGTCTTGCTCTGATGTACCGCACCTCTTCTTTAAGCTGCCTCTTATCTCAGCTACTTCTTCTCTGACGCGCTCCTGCTCTGAGCTACCACCCCCCTCTCAGCTACTTAGTAACTTCTTCTTGAGTTGCTTCTCCCCTCGCTTTTGTAACCCGATTAAGAATCACCTTTCTCGCAGTATATAATCGTTAATCAGCAACCCCCAGCTGCAATCCATTTCAATCCCAACTAGTAGGGGCGCGGCAGCATCACTTGACTTTCCTGCGCGCCGCCGTGCCAATGCGTTTCGTCACCTCCAGCTGCAAGCCCGAAAAACAGATGCGTCTCATCAAATCGACCAACGTGCGCGCGGTGTACACAGTGCGGCCCGCAGTTTCGTGCATTTTTTTTCCGGCCTCATCTTCCAAAAGTGATCCGAGAATGCCAGTTTTTTTTTATATTTGTTAAAAGTTTGAATTGCCCACCGAGTTCTCGTTACGGTCTCATTGCGCACTTTTCTACGGCGGTTTTTTCAAATCGAGGCCCGCAACTGAAACAAGACCCTGCTTTCGATGGTTTCACACGCAAATGCACATGCTCCGGCATTGCTACTGTGATCGGCTGCTCCCACCTACCAACTGCTGTTGCTACTGTACCTCTGTAGCTGGCTTGACGACAAGACTGCCGATGGACATTCGTTTGTAACTCGGAAGTTTTGGAACTAAACTTCTTTTTGAATCTTGTTTGGTGATTGTATATACACATGCATATACACAGTGAAATGCACGCGTTCTTGCGTATGACTGAATGCATGTTTGCACGTGCGCTTATGTTTGACTGACATTGGCATCGCCCTTGCCAAGCAGGTTCGGGAAGGCCCAGCGCTTCCGAAGGTGCAGTTGCTTGATGACTTCCTTGGGAAGCTGGTGAGCGTTTTCTCCCCATATCATTGTGTGGGGTTATTGTTTTTGATTCTCCATCCCGTCCGCTCCTCCTCCCGTCCTCCTCCTCCTCCTCCGCCCGCCCGCCGTTTGTCACACAAACTTTGTCACACACAATCTTTCACACTCACAACAACTTTGTCACACACAATCTTTCACACAACAGCTATTTCACACACAATCTTTCACACAACAACTTTGTCACACACAATCTTTCACACAACAACTTTATCACACACACAACTTTGTCACACACAATCTTTCACACAACAACTTTGTCACACGCAATCTTTCGCACAACAACTTTGTCACACACATCTTTCACACAACAGCTTTTTCACACACATCTTTCACACAACAGTTTTGTCACACACAACTTTGTCACACACAACTTTGCCACACACAGTCTTTCACACAGCAACTTTGTCACAGACAACTTTGTCACACACAATCTTTCACACAAACACACAACCTTGTCACGCACACACGCGCAACTTTGTCACACACAATCTTTCACACAACAACTTTGTCACACACAACTTTGTCAGACACAACTTTGTCACACACAATCTTTCACACAACATCTTTGTCACTTTGCGTGGCAGGCATGGCATTTGGTGACATCGACGCGAACACACAAACTTCCACACAACCTCTTTCACACACACCTCATTCACACGCAACCTTGAACACACAGACTTCCACACACAACGCTTTCACACAACTCTTTCACACAAACTTTAACACACAGCTCTTTCACACGCAACTTCGTCACACACATCTCTTCCACGAACTTGGACACACACAACTCTTTCACACGCAAATTGTCGCACACGACTCTTTCACACACAGCCTTTCACACAAAACTCTTTTACACAACTCTTTCACACACTGCCTTTTACACACACGACTCTTTCACATACAACATTGTCACACAAAACTTTTCCTTGTCACACACAGTGTTTTCACACACACACACGCAACTCTTTCACACACAGCTCCTCTATCACACACAGTTCTTTCACACAATCTGTGTTCCACCATCTCCTAGTTCTTTCCCCATCCCATTTTCACACCTGTTTTGAACTTGTTGGAAGAAGTTGACATGTGGGGTTATCCAGTCCTTTAGTTTCGGTGAATCAGGGTCGTGAAATTAATAGTGGATCAGTCGGATATGCCAGGTATGTTTTTGAAGAAATTTGCGTTGTTTCGTGTTGTTTCTTCCGTTTTTTGCTGGGGTCAGCTGCCAGGAACAAGGATGACACGCCAGGGCCATGCCAATACACCCCGATCAATCCGAACGTGATTTCAGAACGTCGCAGTATTGGGGAGAAGACTGGAGTGATGCTTGTCATAGCTTGGCAAACTGCCAGCGACAACCTCAACCTTTCAAACGCCTTGGTTGCAATTGACGTTTATCTAGGTTTACACTTTCCACAATCTTACATCTTACGTCACCATGTGTCATCATTATCTGTATCTTTGGCATTCTTTGGCCATTTGGTTTTCTATTCGGTTTGGTTCGGGTAGGTTGAAATGGTTTTCGTCCCGAGCATGAGACTTGCTGGCTCTCCAGACTCAGGAAACTCCCGGGTGTATCGGATGTGACTTGGTCAATCGTGTTCCAGTTTCGATATGCCTACTACATCCTATTACTGATGCTGTAGACTGGAGGACCAAGAGGCCGATAGAGGCAAAATCTTGGAGTTCAAGTGAAGTTCTTGTGGAATTTTGTTTGGTTTTGGTTTTCCCTGTTACCCTCAAACTTTCTTTGACAGGGCTCCTAACAGTCCACATTTCGAAACTTCACTTTCTGAACTGCTACAAGCACATTTCGCTTATATACTGTAAGGAGCGAATTGAAAACTACAGCCATGTTTTTTCTTCCTCTCGCCCAACCAACAAGCCGCTGTATATATTGTGCCTTTTCTAGGGCCGCCGCTTGGGATCACTTTGCACATCTATCTTGTGAGAACATGCTACAACTTTTCGGGTTTCTATTGGCCCGGTCACGCAAGAATCAACAGTGACTGTGTTTCCCTCATCGCTGACAAGGTGACACCTGGCCCTGGCGCCTACAATCCAGTGAAGGCAAGAAACAGGGTTATCTTCGGCTATGCTCATTTTAGAAAAATTGAAAAGGAGTCCTTGCAGTACAGCACTTGGATGAGGAAATGCCAGCACGGTGTTGCAGATCCTGGATCACAGTTTCTTCCTTGTGCAGCCCATGTTTTTCGGTGGATGGTTGAATTTTGAGCGATATGGAAGTGAGTTGATATCTCACATCCTTGCTGCAGGTGGGTGAGACATTGGACTATGGAACCTCCTTCTACAAAGGAAAATTGCCCGATGTGTTTGAAGTGTCTTGCGATGTCATGGCCCAACAAACTCTTAAGGGCATTTTGCAGTATTTTGCCGTGTTCATTTAGTTCATTGAAACTGTTTGCAGCAAGCACGTTAATTTCATCAGACAACCGGCAAGAGTCTCTGCCTGCGCACAGGATCTACGAGGCAGGGGGAGCTCAGAGTCAGACCCAATACGTCGTTCGTTGGTGCATTACATTCCTTTCATATTTTGACCAAGGTGGTTGAAACAGCACACTGTAAGTGACACAAAGAGATTTAAACATACGTACACGCACACAAACACACGCAATCACGCGCTTACATCATGTATATTATGTATTTCCCCTATTGCATTAGAATATGATTTTAGAGAGATAGAGAGGCATTTGCATAGACGTATTTAATCATTAAAGAGCCCGGGGATACTCTTCAAAGGGCTACTTCTAAAAGTTGCTATCCTTGCCAAAAAAAACAAAAAGTGAAAAATTCTCGAAAATTCACATTTAAAAAAAAACAGGACAAAACGGAACAAATTCCACAAAAAAAACAAAACAAAATAAAATATTCAAAAGTTCAAAAATCGAAAAAGTTTGAATCAAAAAATCTGGAAAAAAGCAAAAAAAATAAAAAGGAGCAAAAATTCAACAACCATTAAAAAAAAAAACATGTTCAAAAAAGTTCATAAAATAAAAAACAAAAAAAATCAAAAAGAACAAACAAAGAAATCAGAAAAAAAACAAAAACAAGTAATTCAGAAATTTTCAAAAAAGAAACAGAGAACATCAAAGAAACAAAAACATATTTAAAAAATCATGACGAAACAACAAAAACAAAATGAAAATTTGAAAAACAGAAACAAATCGGAAATAAAAAAAAAACAAATCTTGGAATCATCATTTGAAAAAGCCTTCAACAAACATGAACGAAAAAGTATTTTCTTTGGAATGAAAAATAATTAGTTGGAATGAAATTGCATTATTTGGAATGAATTTGAAATATTTCGAACTGAAATTTATAAAAAGGAATGTTCCAGGAGTGTCCCTATGAGGAATGTCCCTCTCCATAGAGAAGATTTAAGACAATAGAAGACCACAGGAAGTGTGGTCACACGGTCACACTGATTAAGTTCGTGGCCGCCAAGTAGGAGCGCGATCCATTCACAAGTCTTGCAACAGATCGCTTCAATTGTTGGGGGTTCAACATGGTTAAGGTCTGAAGAACATTGACAATCCAAGATAATCCAAGTTTGGTTCAGGTGGATGATTGTCAGCCAAGTGGAGAGTCCCGGTCCAGCAGCATATTTGGCTGACAAGGCGCAACGCACAGAAGATGGCCGGACAAGACAGCACGTATGCCATACGTATGCAGAACAGTAGAATGACAGCCATGTTTCAATCATGCCCGCTCCCGCTCTGTCTGTGAACGGGCCTGTTTTAATGCCAGCTACTGTCTCGGATGAAGTCTGGATATTTGCGCTTTCTGGCATTTGCTTTGGCGGTGATCCGACTGATTGCTAGTTATATAGATATCAGTAGTTCAATTGTCATTCCTTTCCACCAATTTCAATCAAGAGTTTAAGACGCTGTAATGGGTTGTAACAGAACTTGCTTCCCATCACGGCAGAACTTGACTCCAGGAGCCCTCCAAAGCTACTCGAAGTAATGGCTTCGGTGGCGGCCCACGGCTGATCGAGACAAACGCCGGCGACACACCTGGACCTGGGTCATACACTTGGGATCTGAAGTCTAATGGTCCTAAGCCTCTTGGCAGAGGCGGTGGAGCTGCGGATGTCATTGTCCAGAGTAGTGTCCATAGTAGAGCAACTGGCAACTTAAGGAAGGAGTCATTTCTATGGTGACCCCAAAGTGTCAGTTATTGCCATGACATAAAGTAGCACGGGTGATTGATTTGGTGAAAGAAACCGATTAGAAAAATGAATCGAATAACAGCGCGACCAAGATTATTGTAAATGCAAGCTCTGCTTGGAATCTCATTTCAGCTCTGTGAATGTGTATGTAGTTAATGGTGTGACAATGTGATATAGATGATGTAATATATATAATATAATATATACCCTCAAGATCGAGATGTCTAGAATCCCCCCCGGGGTTCCCGTTGAAGGTTCTAAAATCATCACCACTATGATTTTAGAACTTTAAAAGGCTATCAAATTAGAACCTTGAAAGTTTGGAAAGGGGGTCAAAAGGTTGCAATCGATTTTTGCATCCATCCCGACCTTGCTGTAAAGAAAGGTGCTGCTTATATTTTCCGGAAAAGGTGGGCCTGACGCAGCGTTAAAAAAAATCCTTCAAAAACAGAAAAATCCAAAACATTATGATGACCTGAACCGTGCAATGCGTACGGGAGGACAAAAACTGTGTGCAAATGAAATGCAAAATTTTGCTTTAAATCATAACAAGGAGATTCCCAAAAAAAAAAATCGAGTCAATTTTCCATGTTTTTATAGCTTACAGGAACATGATTCTAGACCCCTACCCCTTCGTAGACTTTGGGGTTCTAGCATGCTCTCCGTTAAGAGATTTGAAACCCTTGGGTTTTTTAAAGGAACACCATTCTAGACCTCAGATTTGGGGTTCTTATTTGTCGGACAAGGGGTTTGTTTGATCTTGAGGGTATTATAATATGGCATAGTCATTTCAATATAAATGTATATCAATACATCAAGACATACATACATACATACATACATTATATTACATTGCTTTCATACATTCATGCAATCATACATACATGCATGCATGCATACGTACATACATATATACATACACATATATATGTGTGTGTGTGCGTGATGTATATATAAATATATGTCTACGCACGTGCGTGCGTGTGTATACACATGTAATATGAATAGACGCAACGCAAATAAATGATGAAAATCAGCTGGGCATGCACCAAGTAGCTGCTTCATTTAGCATGTTCTTCGCCATGCAAAGATGTCAAACACTATGGTACCTTCACTGCTTCAAGCCAGCATGTGAGTAATATGTATGTGTATACCAGTAGTACCCGCACGAGGCGGGGCGGAAGTTGCCTTAGGGTTATACTAGAAGTTTTTTTATCTACAGAACTTGCATCTGCCGTGCGCCGGCCAGGCCCCTGCGCGCGTGCTTTGTGCGAACCTGTTGCACTGTTGCTGTCCAAGAACAGGACCTGCGCGCGGCCCCGGTGCAATGCAACGCCAAGCAAACACTTTCTTCACGGGTCACACTTCGCACTGCACTCTTCACACCCCGCACTCCACACTTCACACTTGCACTTCACACTCCACAGTTCATCTCAACTCATCTCATCTGAGCTCTTCTCATCTCATTTCATCTCTTCTCATATGTCTTAAGAGAAGAAGAATGAAACCCTTTAGTCGAATGACCACCACCACGGTTTTTCACAAATTTTGACACACAGCAAGCTTTTACACACAGCAAGCTTTACACGAAGACGCTTTTACACAGAAAGTTTTTAAACAGAGAGCTTTTACACAGAGACGCTTTTACACGGAAAGCTTTTACGCAGAGAAGCTTTTACACAAAGAAAGCGTTTACACACAGAAAGCTTTTACGCACAGCAATCTTTTTTACACGAAGCGTTTACACAGAGGATTTCTTGTAATTAAAGACAGAAGAAATTGCAGCTCCAAAACCGGATCTCGGCGCCAAAGCGAAAAAAAGATGATTTTGAAGCACGTTTAAAAGCAATTTTAAAATGAAAAGCGCCAGCGCCAAAATTGAGAAAATCTGCTGACAAATCACTATCGCAACCTTGATACAGCAATTCCAATACGATTGACGACGTCCAGCTGCAAAAGACAATAGTATTACGCACGCAGCCGCAGAACCAAGCAACCTCGACGCAGCCATTACAACGCGATCTCCAGATATTGAATTGCAAAACGCGCTAGTACTACTACGCGCAGCGGCGTTAGAAATTGCAGCTCCAAAACCGGATCTCGGCGCCAAAGCCAAAAAAAAAAAAACACGATTTTGAAGCACGTTTTAAAGGATTTTTAAAAGGAAAATCATCAGCGCCAAACTTCACAAAATCTAGTGACAAATCACTATCGCTATCGCAACTTGATGCAGCCATTCCAATACGATTCACGACGCTCAGCTGCAAAAGACAATAGTATTACGCATGCAGCCGCGGCACCAAGCAACCTGGACGCAGCCGTGATGCTGCAAAACGCATTGTAATGGCTGCATGAATGTTGCATGGGACTTGTTTTGGGGAGGAAGCCGGAGCACGAAACATTCTGTTTTTGCGTGTCAAGTGGCTGCGGCCGGCGATGAAAGGTACCTCGTGTGTGCGGCGGTTACGGGTGCGCTCGTTTCGACGCGTAATCGGTTCTCCCTTGACTTCTGTAAGTCACCATTTCCCTGAGTCAACACTTCCCTTAGTCACCACTTCCCCAAGTCACCGCTTCCCTTAGTCACCACTTCCCTGAGTCACCACTTCCCTTAGTCACCACTTCCCCAAGTCACCACTTCCCCTAGTCACCACTTTCCTCAATGACCATCCTTCGTCACCACCCTTCGTCGTCATCCTTCGTCATCACCCTTCCGCCTCAGTTCCCTGAGTCACCACCCTTCGTTCCCTTCTTTTATGTGATGTATTGTTATGTGATGCACTGTTATGTGATGTGAAGTCTCACACCACCCTTCGTTGATGTATTGTTATGTGATGTACTGTTACGTGATGTAAGGTCTCGCACCACCCTTCGTTCCCCTCTTCTATGTGATTTCTTGTTACGTGATGTAAAGTCTCATACCACCCTTCGTGATGTACTGTTACGTGATGTAAAGTCACTGGAATAAAAGTCACCCGTAACTCGGGAGATTGCTTCCCAACTTCCTTTGAGAATATATATATATATATCTCACTGAAAAGTTTGGGGGGTGAGACCCAAATGGGGTGAGAAAAACCCCTTTAAAAATATGAGAAAACATGGGAAATTAGGGAAAATAATGGAAGATAATGAAAAAATATGACAACACGACAAGGGACATAAAAACATGACAATTTGAGAATTTGACAGTTTGCGAGAACTGTGGCTCAAACTTCTCAGTCAGTGCGCTTGGATGGTATCCAGCACGAGTTTGCAATGTCAAGGGCTCAGGTTCGTACAAAGCCTGTGGGCAGATCCATCACATGTGATTCTCAAAGGAGAATCAGGACAGCAGTGGTCTCCTGTTTCTTGTAGGTCAAAACATCTTCAAATGAACGAGCTTGAAATGGCATGGTCTCACAGAGGGCAAGGTAGGGCAGGGTCTCGCCCATCAAACATCTTCAAATATCTTCAAATGAATTAGAACAGATGGCAGGGTCTCACACATCAAGGAAGGCAGGGCCTCACAGAAAGGCAGGACTTCACAGAAGACAGGGTCTCGCCCATTAAACAAAGGCAGGGTCTCACAGAAGACAGCACAGAAGGAAGGCCCCTCGCAGAAGGCAAAGCGTCACAGAAGCCAGGATCTCACAGAAGGCAAGGTCTCACAGAGGGCAAGGTCTCACAGAAAGCAAGGCGTGTCACTCATAGCAGGGACTCACACAAGGCATGGTTTCACATCTGAAACAAAGGCCTGGTTTCACAGAACACAAGGTGTCACATGTTGAACTGAGGCCTAACTCTCACAGAAGGAAGGGCCTCGCAGAAGGCAGGGCCTCACAGAATGCAAGGTCTCACAGAAAGCAAAGTCTCACAGAGGGTCCAACATTATGAACAAAGGCAGGGTCTCAGAGAAGGAAGGGTCTCACAGAAGGCAAAGCCTCACAGAAGCCAGGGTCCCACAGAAGGCAAGACCTCACAGAGGGTCTCACAGAAAGGCAGGGCTTCACAGAAGGCAGGGTCTGGCCCACTAAACAAAGGCAGGGTCTCACAGAAGGCAGGGGGGTGCCAAGCCTAGTTTGGCTACAGGCATGCGTATCACATATGACGCAATGCAGGGTCTCACACAATAGACAGGGAAATACAGGACCTCGCACCTGAAGGTGTTTTCACCCGTGAAATCACACGCTCCCGAACTGTTGCTCTCCTCTACTGCTCCCACACGCGAACTGCTCTTGCTCACTTTCTGGTTGGCGGCAGAATGACAGGACCGGCCCTGGACATTCTTCCATAACTGAAGTTTAGGATTTTATATTTGGTCTATACTAGGAGCAAGGTACAATCTATAGATATGTAGCACAGTTTTCGATATAAATTAGAACAGATGGCAGGGTCTCACACATCAAGGAAGGCAGGGTCTCACAGAAAGGCAGGGTCTCACAGAAGGCAAGATATCATAAAATAAACTAAGTCAGGGTCTCACAGAAGGAAGGGCCTCACAGAAGGCAAAGCCTCACAGAAGCCAGGGTCCCACAGAAGGCAAGGCCTCACAGAAGCCATGGTCTCACAGAAGGCAAGATCTCACAGAGGGTCTCACAGAAAGGCAGGGCTTCACAGAAGACAGGGTCCCGCCCATTACACAATGGCAGGGTCTCACAGAAGGCAGGGGGTGCCAAGCCTAGTTTGGCTACAGGCATGCGTATCACATATGACGCAATGCAGGGTCTCACACAATAGACAGGGAAATAAAGGATTCCGCACCTGAAGGTGTTTTCACCCGTGAAATCACACGCTCCCGAACTGTTGCTCTCCTCTACTGCTCCCACACGCGAACTGCTCTTGCTCACTTTCTGGTTGGCGGCAGAATGACAGGACCGGCCCTGGACATTCTTCCAAAACTGAAGTTTTAGGGTTT